CTTCAGATTCCCCTGGAACTGGAGTTAAGGATGGTTCTTAGCCACCATGTGGGTGCTGGGAATCGAATCCAGGTCCTCTGCAAGATCTGTCAGTGCTCTTAATCACTGAGCCATGTCTCCAGCCCCAATAACCCCTTAACTGTGAGGTAAGTATTAATTTTTTTTCCTTTGGGTAAATACTTTTACTATCTACATTTTCCATTTCCTAAGGTTTAGAGAGGCTAAATAAGTCACACAGGGCTACACATCTCAGATTTGAGCCCCATGTCATCTGACTCCAGGGCCTGAAGTTGAAGCTGCTATTCTATCGCACTGCCCTGTGTTCATGAGAATGGGACTTTCTTACAGTCATCCAGGTCCAGCAAGAGTCACTTAAGCATGAGTTAAATTGGTACAGGGTCCCATCCTCCCCACCACCACCACCACTATTCCTACCACGTTTTGACTGGGGTTTGAAATCTCTTCTTTCTTTCCTCTCTCTATTTGTCTAGCCACAGTGATGCCCACTTACCTCTGAGGACTAGGCCAAACCAGAACACCCTGATCCCTATGAATTTGTTCCAGCCTAAAGTGGGTTCTGAGCTTCAACAACCATTGTGTCCTATAGTGACCCTTGACTACAGAAACTGGAGGAGGCTATACTTCTAGGGCTCTGGGTTCCCACATTCTCTAGTCACAGCTGTAATGTCCTTTGAGAGAAAATTCTCAGTCTGTGAGCAGTCTCTGGGAACCTGGGTTTCCAGGAATCAAAGGGTTTCAGGCTGAGTCACAATAAAAGAATTGCTGTTTGGAACTGTGTGGCCTGAGGCAGAGAAGTTTCAGGGATTTAGGTATAGATCCCCATTAGTTAGTAGACCATGAGCCTTGCCCTTTGAGTCTGGGTGGCCTTTGAGTCTTACCCTTTGAGTCCTTTATGATGGATGGATGGATTTTATTATGTCCTTGGAGCAGAGACCATCAGGCACAGAAGAGATGGCCATGAAACCAATGCACCAAGGCTCACCCTGGGGTGAAGGGAATTATTTGCATTCAGGCTTTTACCTCCTTTTCAGAGAATAGCCAACATTTTTGGCAAAAATCCCAAGAAAGTGTCCCTGGAATGATGGCTCTTTCAGCTGATGGTAGGGCAGGCAGAGGTTAGCTAAGGTGGTTCAGGCCATGGATCTCGGAAGATGTTCTTCTGAGCAACAGTGAGAATGAAAACTGACATGAGGGGACATGAGGGAGGGCAAAGACAGGTGGGATCAAGGAGTACCGCATCCATCAACCTGCCCCAGCCCAGCTGAGTCCGTGCTATGCCCACAGGAAAGCCCACCTTGACTCCTCCCCACATAACTAACGTGTCTTCTGGTGGGCTCCTAGCAGTTTCTTGTACCTCTTTTGCTTGTTTTACCTTGTCTTATAGTAGAATTTTAAAAATATTTTATTATTTTCATCATATGTGTATGAGTGTATTGCCTGCTTTATGTAAGTGTACACATGTCATGCAATGCCCTTGGAGATCAGAAGAGGGAGTTGGATCCCCTGGAACTGGAGTTACAGACAGTTATAAGCCATGATGTGGATGCTGGGAACTGAACCTAGGTCTTTTGCAAGAGCAACTGGTATTTTTAACCCTTGATCTGTCTCTCCAGTCCCTTAGAGCAGGATTTTTTTTTTTTTTTTTTTTTTTTTTTGAGAAAGGGTCCCCCTGTACCCCCAGCTGTCCTGGAACTCAATATGTAGACCAGGCTGGCCTTGAACTCACAGAGATCTGCCTGCCTCTGCCTCCTGAGTGCTGGGATTAAAGGTGTGTGCCACCATGCCCAACACAGCAGAATTTTTAAACACCATTAAATGATACATTTAAAAAAGAAGAACAATATAATTATGTTTGTATTTCTCTCCCTATAGTGCCCAACAGGGTATTATATATACATAGTAGCATCTACAGAAATGTTTGAATGAATGAATGAGAACCAGGTAAAAGGGAACATGTGTGTTTATTTTATTTATTTTTAATATCTTATTATTTTTATTTTATGTATGAGTGTATTGCCTGCATGTGTGTAAATGTACTCATGTTGTATAGTGCCTTCGGAGATCAGAAAAGGGAGTTGGATCCCCTAGAACTGGAGTTACAGACGGTTGTTAGCCACTATGTGGGAGTTGGAATTTAAACCTAGGTCTTCTACGAGAGCAGCCAGTGCATTTAACTGCTGTCATCTCTCCAGCCCCAGTAGAATTCTCTCTCTCTTTTTTTGTTATTTTTATTTATTTATTTATTTATTTATTCATTTATTTGTTTATTTTTGGTCTTTTTGGTCTTTTTTGAGACAGGGTCTCCTTGTAGCCCCAGCTGTCCTGGAACTCACTATGTAGACCAGGCTAGCCTCAAAGTCACAAAGATCCACCTGCCTCTGCCTCCCAAGTGCTGGGATTAAAGGCATGCACCACCACGCCCGGCTTTGTAATTTATTTTTTATGTGTATGCGTGTATTGCCTGCATGTAGGTAAGTGCACCCATGTCCTGCAGTGCCTGAGGAGGACAGAAGAGACTGTCAGATCCCCTGGAACTGGAGTTACAGACAGTTGTTAGCTGCCAAGTGGGTGCTGGGATTCGAACCCGGGTCTTCTGTAAGAACAGTCAGTGTTTTTAACCACTGAGCCATCTCTCCAGCCCCCTCAGTAGAACCCTTAAAAAACCCTATTAAACGATGCTTCTAAGATTTTTTTAATTGCACCTCTTTATTGTGGGGGAGGAGGGCAGGCAATCACAGTGTGAGAGTGGGAACCAGAGGACACGTTGTCACACAGCCCCACTGCCTTCCCTGCCATGATGGACCAAGATCCTCTGAACTAGAAGCCAAAATCAATCTTTCCTCCCACCAGTTGTTTCTTTCTGATATTTTGTCACAAGTATGCAAAAGTAACTGATACAGGGTGGATGCTGGTAGTGTTCTTATTTTACAGGCAGAGAAGTCAAAAGAGAAGGTCACCCAGGGTCACAGTCAGTAGATAGCAATCCCAGACCTGACACGGGTCTGTTGGCCTTAGGAGCACAAGCTCTTGTTCAATCATATTGCTATTTGGCCTCTGTTGTTGTATTTTCCCATAGTCCTTATATTTCTCTTTTGAGGCATTTTGGAAGCATTTGCTCATTTAATGGATTATCACTTGTTCAGTAATGATCGTGTTATTCAGCTTTTGCATCAAGCAGGTTATGAAGCACCTGACATGAATAACTTAAAGGGAGGAGATTTTTTTTTTTTAAATCTTGAAACCGTTTTAGTAGTTTCATCCTATAATTCTTGGCTTCTTTGATTTGGGCCTGTGGTGAGGCAGAATATCATTGCAGTAGGGCATGTGGCAGAGGCTACTGACCTATAGCGACAGGATACAAAGAGAGCAGAAGACCCCAACTAGGTAAAACCTTCAAAAGCAACCTCTGGTGACCCACTTCTTCCAGCCTGGCCCCACCCCCTAAAGTTTCTAAAACATCCCAAATAGAGCCACCAACTAGGGACCAAATATTGAATACATGAGGTTGTGAGGGACATTTCACAGTCAAACCATAGCAGTTATTTTTACTGACTGTATACTCTGGGTTCACATTGATTGGTATCTTTAGTCATATCGCCTGCTCTCAGAACAGTGCCTGCCATGATGGGGCACTCAGTAAATATATGCTATTGACTGACTGACACATGACTAGTGACTTAAAATAAGCTGCCAGGGCTCTCTAGGCCCCTTTTCCACTCTCCCTCTCTGGTCTACCTGCCTCATCTCTATCCTCCAGTCCCACCAGTCAGCACCATTCCCTCCCTCAGCCTTAAAGTCCAGCTAGTGGGCATTAAATGCCATGGAAAAGCTTTAGTCCTAGACGATCCCTGGACTCAGCAAATGCTGATCAAGTGACTGCTTCTTTCTGGTTTAGGATGGAGAGATGCCAGGAAAGATCGAAGCATCTAGCCTGATGGGTTACACCAGGGCTTCTAGAAGGGATTTTGTGGCAGGAGGGAGGGGGGCAGGAGATTGAATGTCTCTGAGACTTGCTCAGGGCAGCATGATGGACAAGCAGTGGAAAGCCTTCTTTGAAAAGAGCCAGACCTGTTGCAACAGTATCTCCCAGGGACCCAGAATTGTATTTCCCTAAAGACATGATAAATAGTGCTCTGGATTTATCTGGGTGGTGCCTGCAGGCTCCTCCTAAATGCTTCCAGAGAAGGTCTGTCTACAGATGCCACAGCTGAGCAGGAAACTGATGGGAAGGAACTAAGGAAAGTTTGAATCCTCTTCCCAAGAGCCTTGGGGCCTCAGGAACTGATAATCCTATAAAAGTTTCCTCATGCCTGTAGATCCCACCTCTTCCTCCAACAGCCTTCTAATTTTCAGTTTATGTGCACAGCAAGGTCTCTGTCTGTCTCTGTCTGTCTGTTTCTCTCTCTCTCTCTCTCTCTCTCTCTCTCTCTCTCTCTCTGCGAAAGTGGCCAAAGGCCAGGGCCTTTGATGCTCAGCATTCAGGTTCTCCTTGGCAAAGGAGACTGCATAGTCCAGTTGGTCAGGAGAACCGCCTCTCATCTTGAATTCAGTGTCTTTCTTGGGGTTGTAATTACCTGGGAGTCCCCCAAAACATTACCAAATACAGTAGAAAGGACTCAGTGAGCATGGCCCTGGCCACCGGGTGATAGAAAAGTAAAATGCATGCTTGAACAGAGCTAGCCTCAGGCTGCCAGTCCATGAACGCATCAGCCTGGTCCCTGATGTTCTGGCTCCCGGTGGTTGTGGTTCGCCTTTGCCAGCCTCTACATTTTTGTATCTTTTTCTCATTGCGTGGCCCCTTGTCTTTAAAAGGCTAAACTGCTCTGTACTAAATTTGGTCACGCAGCGCTCCAAGATTCCCTGGAATGTCCTCAAGTTTCAAACAGCTCTGACAGTGAGGCAGGCCCGCCCCCGGCTTGGGGATTGGCTTGTCCTCTCTGACTGGGCAGCTGTCAGGTCTTATTGGTTGCTGGTTAGACTGGGCAGGGTCCACTAGCCTTAGACTGCAGGGAGGCTGCTGTGTCCCCTGAGCACCTGTGGCACAGCAGGACCAAAGAGCTGTGAAACCCTCGCCTAGCTGGGGCTTTGCACCCAAGCCCGTTCAGCTCTGTCCAGACCAGTGCCCCCTCTCCCTTCCCTGCCTACCAGCACATCCACAGCCCCAGAAAGAGCTGCTACCCACTTTGCCAAGATGTCCAAGGTAGCCAAGTATCGCAGGCAGGTGAGTGAAGACCCCGATATCGACAGCCTGCTGTCCACCCTCTCCCCTGAGGAGATGGAAGAGCTAGAGAAGGAGCTGGATGTGGTGGACCCAGATGGGAGCATTCCCATGGGGCTGCGGCAGAGGAACCAGACGGACAAACAGTCCACCGGCCCGTTCAACCGGGAAGCCATGCTCAACTTCTGCGAAAAGGAGACCAAGAAACTTATTCAGAGGGAGATGTCCATGGATGTGAGTGACAAACCCGGGATGAAAAGCGGGTGTGAGGGGAGGACTGGGGTCCCTAACTCCATGATTACAATCCTTCTTTCCTTAGAACAGTTCTTACTGGCAAAGGACTGAATGCTTCAGAACTGGTTATTATTCACTAAACTAGCAGTGTGAACCTCTGCTGTTAATTTCTGTTTTGTAAGCAGAGAAGTTGGATATGTTGGAGAGACAGAGTATCTCAAAATCAGATAGGAAGAGGGAACTGAGAGGGGTCTGAAGAATACATTGTTGAATTGATGCCATCCTGGTCTCTCAGCATATTTTTTTTTCTTCCCATTAATCCTGTAGTGAGGAAGGAGGAAGAAGAGAGTGATGTTTGTAGTCTCTCACCAGCCAGTCACCCAAGAAGAGAAGGCTAAGTTGATCAGAATGCCCTGGCAACATGGCCCCAACTCCTGAGAGCAGGGATGGGAAAGTAGGGATGAGAGGAGGGAGAGAGGCACAGTGGTCGGGGAGGCACACTGGCCCTGGCCCTGCCATCCCCTTGGTCCATGTTCAAGGCTTTGCCAGGAAGTGGAGTATGTGGGATTCTTAACCTGTGGGCAAGGTGGTTGTCTCTTTTGCACCTATGATAATGATGAATAAAAAACAAAACAGGTATGAGGAGGAAATGCTAGGCCTACTTATGAGGGCCCAGTGACCCCAGACAGCTTTCAGGAAACAGAGAAATGAAACTCAATCAAGGCCTCTGTGACTCCCCATGTGGAGCCTAAATAATCATTCCGACTCTGCTCTTCTCTACCATTCCCTAGCTTCTGGGCCCATGGTTGCATTGTCTCCAGTGGCTTCTGGAGGTTGAAGTCAAACAGAACTGTTTTCTATCCTGGGAACCAAACCCAGGGCCTCATACATGCTATGCAAGTCTACTACTGAGCTATCCACTCAGCCCTAAAATTGAAGGCCTTGCTTAATTACAAAGCAAGATGTTTAGGCCACTGAGAGGCCAAGTGACCCTTTTACCTCTGGGACTTTCATTCTCTAGCTATTCTGCAGTTAATACTGCGGCCTGCCTCTCTGCTCCCTCCCCCAGCTCCTCCTCCTGCCAGGGGCACATTTTTTTCTTCAGATGGAGACAAGTCAAGGAATAGATGGTGGGGCATGTGTGTATCCTTTGTATTTAGGACCATTTTTGCCTCATGGAAATAGGCTATTCCAGTCCCCTCACTGCTTCTCATGCAGGTTAAGGGTATATGTTGGCATAATGCCCAGCTGTGGACAGAGGTCTCTGTAAATCTGTGGGAATGAATGAACCCTAACATGTAGCCTCTTTAACATTATTAACAAAAGAATGAGCGTGGAGTCAAGGCCTAGAATTTAAGTATCCAATGAGAGTACCAGAGGCTCTTACTGTTCTGTCTATACAACTAACTCACAAATTACCTAGGTCAAGGGTTGTTGTGGCAACTAAGAGGACTAACCATGGAGAATGCTCAGCACAGAGCTTGGCACATAAATAGCAAAAGGCAGCCATGGAATTATGAATTCATTTTAGTCAAGGAACTCAGAAATTAGTGAAATGAGCCCAAAACAAATCTCTCTGCTTACCCAGCCCTGCCCACCTCTCTGTCCTCTGGTCCATTCAGTTAGTGGCCAGAGCAAACAAGCAAAGCTTGGGTTCTTAGGTACAACCTAGTGTGTACACGCCATTCCAGGCTGAGGAGCTAACTGCAGTCCTTGTTGCCTGGATGGTCACTCTTCATGAAGACTGGCAGGTAATGAAATAGCGTGTGAGCCAGTTGATTCACTGGACCTGTGGAAGAGCAGCAAAGTGGGCCACGGAGAGCCTTCTACACACCCAGCACATCCACCTTCTCTTTCATGTGAGCCAAATAATCTTAGGAGACAGGTATTTTATCCCCATTATATAGACCAAGAAACTTAGTCTCAGAGGGAGGTTGAACACCTGTCCTAAGGTGACACAACTAATAAATGACCTGCCTGACTCTTTGAGGTCTGTACTTCTTTCACTCTGTCATTAGGACACTAGGTACAAAAACAGAGAAAATGACAGTCCTTGATTTCTTTTTTTTGAGACAGAGTCTCACTGTATCCCCTGGCTGGCCTCACTATGTAGACCAGGTTGGTCTTGAACTCACAGAGATCTGCCTGCCTGCCTCTGCCTCCTAAGTGCTGACACTAAAGGCATGCACCACCACTCCTGGCTTTTGCTATTGTTTTTGAGACAGGTTCTCATATAACCCAGGCTGGCTTCAGTATCTACTTGGAAATGACCTTGAACTTCTGATCCTCCTGCTTCTACCTCCCAAGTAGTGGGACTCCAGGCATGCACCACCACGCAGTTTATACAATCAAATCCAGGGCCTTGTACATAGCAGGCAAGCACTCTACCAATTGTACTCTAGCCCCAGCCTCCCAGTTTTAGCTTCAGAGAATTTACAGCTTACATAGAATCATAAAACACATGCATATGAGACTTCCAGGGAGATGCTAGAGATCAGCAACTGTGTACCTGTGTATTGTCATAGGAGCAATGTCTGTGACAGTCTGGTAGAGAAGGCTGGGCCCCTCCCTCATCCTCTGGGGAGGACTGTAACTATTAAACCAAGTATAGGCTAGGAAAAGATACTGTGTGATATTTAGGAATTTTCCTTAATTTCCATAGATATGATAATAACAGTCTTATAAACATTTAAAAAATGCTTTATTTTTATTTTATGTGTATGAATGCATTTCCTACATGTATGTAAGTGTACCCATGTTGTGCAGTACCCATGGAGGTCAGAAGAGGGCGTCAGATCCCCTGGAATTGGGGTTACAGATGGTTATTAGCTGCTATGTGGGTGTTGGTAATCGAACTCAGGTCCTCTGCAAGAGCAGTCAGTGCTCTTAACCACTGAGCCATCTCTTCAGCCTTTTAAACATTTTTTAAAAGGAAGTTTATCTTTTAGCCATAAATAATAAAAATATGCTTGGGAAAATTTATCAAATTGGAGGATTTGCTTTGAATGACAGGGGTGCAGTGTAGGTGAAGCAGAGCTGGCCACGAGTTGCTGTTGAGCTGGATGTTGGATCCACCTGGGTGTTCATTAGATGTTTTTCTCTACTTTTGTCTGAAGTTTGTCATATTCAACAAAGGTTTAATAGAAATCAAGAGTGTTAAGCTGAATCACAAACCCGGACTTTTCCTGAGAGGGAAAACACTAAGATTCATACCCTGGCTGGGGTTCTAGGTGGGTCTAGACTGTAGAAGGGACGGGGACTACTTCTTCCTCACTGGGACAGACTATTCCAGGGATCTTCTGGATTGTTCACCATCTTTTTCATGAATGTTCTTCCCATACTTTTTCCAGGTCACCACCTCCAGTCAGTCACCTCTGACTGCCAGGCAAGGCTAGGTACCTTGTTTGAGCATTCTAGTACCACACTGTCCTACCCTCCAGGACATTTGTTATCATTATTAGATGTGGGAGAGGGGATCATGCATGCTGTATTGTGCATGAGGAAGTCATAGGATAATTTCTGGTAGTTGGTTCTCTACTTCCATTCTAGGTTTCAGGGATCAAATAGGCTGTCAGGCTTGGGTGGCAAGCATTTTTATCTGATGAACCATCTTGCTGACCCACACTTTTTAACATAGAGCTAGAGATTGAACCCAGGGCCTACAGCATGGTAAGCATGTGCTCTACCATGGAGCCATACATCTCATACCTTTTTTGTAATTCTCTGCCTCCCTGGCTGCTTCCTTTGCCAGCTTGCATGATTCTTGAGGCAAATGCTCACATACAGAGGAACCCCAGCTGCTTATGAAATGTTAGCAAGGGATTCGGGGAAGGCTAGAGACTGGCTTCTTGCCCTGCCTATAAAGGGGTGGATCTGGCAGCCAGTCTTTCCCCTGGTCCTCTGGGAGTTCTCCCTTAGCCCAGGTGGAAGACAGGCCAGTGCATAATCAAACAGTGGAGTGAAGCTGTCCTTGGCTCAGGTTTCGGGAACCAGATCCCAACAGGTCAACTCATATATTCTCTTCTCTTTCCAAGTGGGGGGACGAAACCCTCAGCCTGCCTCCCTCGTCCTCCCTAGGGTGACAGGGACCAAGGATTAGCACTTGCATACAGCCAGGGGCAGGGGCCAGGGCAGCTGAGCTGGGGGGGTGGTGGAAGTTCTTTTAGGTGCTCCCTAGAGGTCAACTTGAGGCTCACTCTGAAGTACCCACTGGGGGACCCCGAGCCTCCTGCTGCCAGCCAGCTACATAGCCGCTTCCTTCAGTCCTTGGTTCTATTTCATGCCTCTGGTCTCCCTGCGTGGATGGAAATGCCAATGCTGGAAGGCCTGAGGCCATTGCACCAACCCCCAGAATGCCCTTTGCAGATGGCTGGGCTAATTGAGAGCACAACTCACTGATTAAGGAGATTAACCCCGACTGGTACATACTCAAAATAGCCTGGAGGCCAGGGTGGAGAGGGCAGAGGAGGTGATGCAGGCCTTGTGACCCAGGTAGGCACAAGCAGACACCTAGAAAGGGCTAGACAAGTATAAAAGCCACATCCATCCATAGTTTGGTAAAAACAAAACAAAACAAAAAAAAAACAGCTGACTGTATTTTAAAGTAGATGGTGGTCTACTGCAGGTCTCAAGCATTGTTCTTAAATCTTTCATTTTTTTGTATATATAATATTTAGTTTAAAGAATTTTGTGCAAGTGAGGAATCAGAACCTGGTCTCACCTGTAGCACAACCTTTGGTCCCTTTTTAAGACAGCAGGTCTGAGAAGTTGGCGGTAAGACAGATGTTAGGACCAAGGAAAACTTGCAAATATGAAATGGTCCAGCAATGAGGGGAGGATGGAGATGGTTCCCAGGTGGAATATGAATGCTGTTGACCAACAACAAGAGGTTGCCACCAGCTACATGGATAGCTAGAGGCTTCAGAGTTTCTGGGGCTTCATGATCCCCAGGTCTGGATAAGATGGAGAAGACAAAGCTCTTATCTGGCCTGTCTGCTTCA